CAAGAAATAACTAAGATCAGAGCTGAACTGAAGGAGATTTAGACACGAAAAACCCTTCAAAAAATCAATAAATCCAAGAGCTGGTTTTTTGAAAAGATCAACAAAATAGACCACTAGCCAGACTGATTAAAAAGAAAAGAGAGAACAACCAAATAGATGCAATAAAAAATGATAAAGGGGAAATCACCACAGATTCCACAGAAATTCAAACCATCATCAGAGAATATTACAAACAACTCTATGCACATAAACTAGTAAACCTGGAAGAAATGGATAAATTCCTGGACTCCTGTGTCCTCCCAAGCCTAAACCAGGAGGAGGCTGAAACTATGAATAGACCAATAACAAGGTCAGAAGTCGAGGCAGCAATTAAGAGCCTACCACACAAAAAAATCCCAGGTCCAGACGGGTTCACAGCCGAATTCTACCAGACACACAAAGAGGAGCTGGTACCATTCCTTCTAAAACTATTCCAAATAATCCAAAAAGAGGGAATCCTTCCCAAATCATTTTATGAGACCAACATCATCCTGATACCAAAACCCGGCAGAGACCCAACAAGCAAAGAAAACTTCAGGCCAATATCCATGATGAACATAGATGCAAAAATCTGCAATAAAATATTGGCAAGCCGATTGCAACAGCAAATCAAAAAACTTATTCATCATGATCAAGTAGGATTCATCCCGGGGATGCAAGGCTGGTTCAACATACGCAAGTCTATAAACATAATTCACCACATAAACAGAACCAAAAACAAAAACCACATGATTATCTCAGTTAACGCAGAGAAGGCATTTGACAAAATTCAACAGCCCTTTATGCTAGAAACCTTCAATAAACTCGGTATCGATGGAACATATCTCAAAGTAATAAAAGCTATTTATGACAAACCAACAGCCAATATCATACTGAATGGGCAAAAACTGGAAGCATTCCCTTTGAAATCCGGCAGTAGACAAGGATGGCCTCTTTCACCACTCCTATTCAATATAGTACTGGAAGTTCTAGCCAGAGCAATCAGGCAAAAAAAATAAATAAAGGGTATTCAAATAGGAAAGGTGGAAGCCAAATTGTCTCTATTTGCGGACGACATGATAGTATACCTAGAAGACCCCATCGCCTCAGCCCAAAAACTCTTGAAACTGATAAGCAACTTCAGCAAAGTCTCAGGATATAAAATCAATGTGCAAAAATTACAAGCATTCGTCTACACCAATAACAGACTTAAAGCCAAATCAAGAACGAACTGCCATTCACAATTGCTACAAAAAGAATAAAATACCTTGGAATACAACTCACAAGGAACGTAAGGGACCTCTTCAAGGAGAACTACAAACCACTGCTCAACAAAATCATACAGGACATAAACAGATGGAGAAACATTCCATGTTCATGGTTAGGAAGAATTAATATCATGAAAATGGCTATACTGCCCAAAGTAATTTACAGAATCAACGCTATCCCCATCAAGCTACCATTGACTTTCTTCACAGAACTGGAAAAAACCACCATGAACTTCATATGGAACCAAAAGAGAGCCCGCATAGCCAAGTCAATTGTAAGCAAAAAGAACACAGCGGGGGGCATCACACTACCGGATTTCAAACTATACTACAAGGCTACAGTAATCAAAACAGCATGGTACTGGTACCAAAACAGAGATATAGACCAATGGAACAAAACAGAGGCACCGGAGGCAACACAACATATCTACGACTATACAATCTTTGATAAACCTGACAAAAACAAGCAATGGGGAAAAGATTCCCTGTTTAACAAATGGTGTTGGGAAAACTGGCTAGCCATGTGCAGAAAGCAGAAACTGGACCCCTTCCTGACACCTTACACTAAAATTAACTCCAGATGGATTAAAGACTTAAACATAAGACCTGGCACCATAAAAACCCTAGAAGGAAATCTAGGCAAAACTATCCAGGACATAGGAGTAGGCAAGGACTTCATGAACAAAACACCAAAAGCATTGGCAACAAAAGCCAAAATAGACAAATGGGACCTAATGAAACTCCACAGCTTCTGCACGGCAAAAGAAACAGTCACTAGAGTGAATTGGCAACCAACAGAATGGGAAAAAATGTTTGCAGTTTACCCATCTGACAAAGGGCTGATATCCAGAATTTACAAAGAACTCAAACAGATTTACAGGAAAAAAACAAACAAGCCCATTCAAAAGTGGGCAAAGGATATGAACAGACACTTTATGAAGGAAGACATATATGAGGCCAACAATCATATGAAAAAATGCTCATCATCACTGGTCATCAGAGAGATGCAAATCAAAACCACATTGAGATACCATCTCACGCCAGTTAGAATGGTGATCATTAAAAAATCTGGAGACAACAGATGCTGGAGAGAATGTGGAGAAAAAGGAACACTTTTACACTGTTGGTGGGAGGGTAAATTAGTTCAACCATTGTGGAAGACAGTGTGGTGATTCCTCAAGGCCTTAGAAATAGAAATTCCATTTGACCCAGCAATCCCATTACTGGATATATATCCAAAGGACTATAAATCGTTCTACTATAAGGACACATGTACACGAATGTTCATTGCAGCACTGTTTACAATAGCAAAGACCTGGAATCAACCCAAATGCCCATTGATGATAGACTGGATTGGAAAAATGTGGCACATATACACCATGGAATATTATGCAGCAATCAGAAATGATGAGTCTGTGTCATTTGTAGGGACATGGATGAATCTGGAGAACATCATCCTCAGCAAACTGACACAAGAACAGAAAATGATACACCGTGTATTCTCACTCATAGGCGGGTGATGAAAAATGAGAACACATGGACACAGGGAGGGGAGTACTAAACACTGGTGTCTATTGGGGGGAAAAGGGGAGGGCCAGTGGGAGGGGGAGGTGGGGAGGGATAGCCTGGGGAGAAATGCCAAATGTGGGTGAAGGGGAGAAAGGAAGCAAAACACACTGCCATGTATGTACCTACGTAACTGTCTTGCATGTTCTGCTCATGTACCCCAAAACCCAAAATGCAATAAAAAATTAAAAAAAAAAATTTCATTTTCTAATTGTTGCAGTTACATAAAAAATATAATCAATATTTTGCATATTGATTTATATCCATTGAACAATTTAAATTCATGCATTAATATTAACCATTTGATTGTGGTTATCTATACTCATAATTATGTCATTTACAAATAATGACTAACTTTTTTCTTTCCAATTTTTTACCTCATAATTCTTTTTCTTACCTTATTGCACTGGTGACACCTTCCAGTATGACGCTGAATAGAAGTGATTAGAGTGAACATCCCTATCCAGTTCCCAACCCCAGAGGGAAAGTGATCAATTTCAAGATTAAGTGATATTAGCTGAGATAGTTTTGTAAATACCCTTCTTTAGGATAAGAAAGAAAGAAATTGAAACTGGTTATGGAGGCATACACCTGTAGTCCCAGCTACTCTGGAGGCTGGGGCAGGAGGATCCCTTGAGACCAGGAGTTCAAGACTATAGTGTATACCATGATTGCATCTGGGAATAGCCACGGCACTCTAGCCTGGGCAACATAGCAAGATCCTGTCTTGGATCTTGCTATCCAAGATAGCAAGGAAGGAAGGAAGGAGGGAGAGAGTGGGGAAGGAGCTGGTTTTCTATTCTCTGTGTAAGTTGTGTTATTAGGTACATATATATTTATAATTGTATCTTCTTAAAGAATTGACTGTTTTGTCATTATGAAATGTCCCTCTTTGTCTATGGTAATATTTCTGTGTTAAATAATCTTATCTGACTAACAATACAGCCACACCAGCTTTCTTATGGTTAATATCTGCATAATATATCTTTTTAGAATTCTTTTACTGCCAGTGATTGCATATCTTATATTTAAAGCATGCTTCTTATTTTTCAAATTAAAAAAAATAGTTGAATATTATTTTGTTTTAATCTATTCTGCCAATCCAGTCTTCTAATTGCATATTTAGTGCATTTACACTTAATTGTTGGTATAATTGAGTTTAAGTCTATTATCTTGCTGTATGTTCTGTTTTACCCCATTTGTTCTTTGTTCCTTTGTTCTTCCTCTCCTTTGTTCCTTTGTTCTTCTTTTAGTTTAATCAAGTGTTTTAAATCTATTTTATCTCTCTCTTAGCTCTTTAGTTAAACCTATTTTTAGATGTTCTTTTAGTAGTTATTCTAGATCGCTATGTGCATGTTTAATTTATTCTTTTCCGTTTTTAGTTTCCAGACATCCTCTGAAAGTTTAATTTATTACACTCTACAGATGTTCCTCAACTTACCATGGGGTTATATCCCAATATGTCCATTGTAAGTCGAAAATATTGTTAAGTTGAAAATGCATTTAATCATCCCAATGAACTCATTGTAAAGTTGAAAAATTGTAAGTCAAACCACTGTAATCACGGACTGTCTGTGCTTTGGATTAGTATTTCACCACGTCTTATAATGTCTTAGACCTTCTGTGTTGCCATGAAGGAACATCGGAGGCTGGGTAATTTATAATGAAAAGAGGTTATTTGGCTCACAGTTCTGCAGGCTCTCCAAGAAGCATGGTGCTATCATTTGCTTCTAATGAGGACCTCAGTCTGTTTCCACACACTGCAGAAGGTAAATCTAGGTTAGCATGTGTAGAATCACATGGTGAGAGGAAGCAGGAACAAGAAGAGGGAGGTGTCATGCTCTTTTTAACAACCAGCTATCACAGGAGCTAATAAGAGCTCCCTACTCCCAAGAGGGCATTACTCTATTCATGAGGGATCCCCGAACAATGATCATATTACCTCCCATTAGGCCCCACCTCCAAAATTGGGGATCAAATTTCCACATGAAGTTTAGGGGAACAAACATCTAAATTCTAGTAAACAATATAATTCCATGCCCCCATTATGCTACTGTTATCATAGAATTTTACTTTTATTGTGTTATAATTATCACAATTATTATTGATTTAAACATATAATTTAGTCTTAGATGATTTTACATTTACCTTTACCAGTGCTCTTCATTTCTTCTTACGGACCTGTGTTTCTCTTTAAGATCATTTCCTTCAGTGTGGAGAATGTCCTTTAGTATTCCTTGTGATGTGAATCTGCTGGAAATGAATTAATTCTTATTTGTGTGACAATATGTTTATCTTCTTCAGCTATCAAATGTTTGAAGACTCTTTTGTCTCAGTAAAATTCTAGGCTGTAATTTGTTTTTCAGTATTTGAAAGATGTTATTCCATTGTTTTTTGATTTCCATTGTTGCTGTTGAAGAGTAAGCTGTAATTTTTCTTATTCGTTCCTGTGAATGTAATGTGCTTTCTCCCTTTAGCTGCTTATAAGGTTTTTTTGGTTGTCTTAGGTTTTCAGCAGCTTGCCAATACCTAGGTATTTCTTTCTCTCTTTCTCTCTCTCTCTCAAATCTGCTTGAGGTTTACTGGGTTTCTTGGATCAGTAGGTTAATATTTTTAATCAATTTTGGAAAATTCTCAGTATCTTTTCAAACATTTTTTATGCCTTTTTCTCTTTATTCTCTCCTCATGGAACTCAAACTACAGATATGTTAGATATTTTTCACACGTCTCTCGCACATTGTTCTTATTGTTTTTTTATTTGTACTTTAGTTTTCAAAATTTCTATTGACGTGTTTTAGAACAGCAGTCCCCAACCTTTTTGGCACCAGGGAATAGTTTTGTGGAAGACAATTTTTCCATGAACTGGGGGCAATGGGGGCAGGGGTTGATGGTTTCAGAATGATTCAAGCTCATTACATGATGAGGGATGAGAAAGCAATTCAATTACATATTTTTCCATATGGCTGTTCGGTTATCCCAATACCTTATTAGCAAATCCTTTGCTCCATTTTTTCTTATTGGTTATTCTTAAAAGCTTTTGATTTCTGTATATTATTTTTATATATTGATACTTTATTAAGTTCTCTATAGAAATTTCCTATTTTTTCTGTTCAGTTTTCAAGTTATATAATTACATCATCTGCAAATAAGTTTTACCTTTTCTTTTCCGATTCTTATGACTCTAATTGCTTTTTCTTCTGTAACTGAATTGGCTGACACCTCAAATCCAATCAATATCTAATCATGATAAACATTTGTGTCATTGCAAACTAGAAGTAGAAAGTAACTCCTTCTTTTGACCAAAAGTTATATAACAGAAATTCAAAGGAAACATTATAGTTAGTAGGGAAACCTTAGAAGCATTTCATTAAAAGGAATAAGGCAAAGATGCCAACCATTACCCCTAATGTTTAACATAGTCCTGAGGATCCTGGTCAATACAATAAAGACACCAAGTAAGAGGTATGAGCATTCAGAGAAAAGGTATGTGCAGCCAGGTACAGTGGCTCATGCCTGTAATCCCAGCACTTTGGGAGGCCGAGGTGGGCAGATCACCTGAGGTCAGGAGTTTGGGACCAGCTTGGCCAAGATGGTGAAACCTTGTCTCTACTAAAAATACAAAAATTAGCCGGGTGTGGTGGTGCATGCATGTAGTCCCAGCTACACAGGAGGCTAAGACAGGAGAATTGCTTGAACCTGGGAGGCAGAGGCTGCAGTGAGCCAAGATCTCACCACCGCACTCTAGCCTGGGCGACAGAGCAAGACTCCATCTCAAAAAGAAAAAAAAAAAGCATAAAGACAGATAATGACCTTAATAAGAAATGGAGAGATAGTACATATTTTTCTTAGGGACAACAATATTATGAAGATGTGAATTCTTCCTAAACTAATTTATAATTACAATGCAATCACAATTAAAACTAATTAAATATTTTTGAGAAAGTCAGCAAACTTACTGTAAATTCTAAATCGAAGCATAAGGTCTGTGAATAGTAGCCAAATTAGACTTGAGAAAAAAGAGAGAGATTCCCCTGTCAGATAGTAAGACATGCTACAGGCTAGATGTGGTGGGTCATGCCTGTAATCCCAGCACTTCAGGAGGGATTACAAAAAAAAAGTACACTACAAAACAGTACTAATAAAAATCTGTTTTTTGGTTTTTTTTTTCTTGAGATGGAGTCTCACTCTTTCGCCCAGGCTGAAGAGCAGTGGCGCAATCTTGGCTCACTGCAACATCTGCCTCCCAGGTTCAAGCAATCAAGCTATTCTCTTGCCTCAGCCTCTCAAGTAGCTGGGATTACAGGCAGGCATCACCATGCCTGGCTAATTTTTTTGGCATTTTTAGGAGAGATGGGTTTTCACCATGATGGCCAGGCTGGTCTTGAACTCCTGACCTCGTGATTTGCCCACCTTGGCCTCCCAAAGTACTGGGATTACAGGCATGAGCCACCGTGCCCAGCCAAATCTGGGTTTTATTGGCATAAGGACTTTCAAATAGACCAGTGGGTGAGAAAAGAGTTCAGGAATAGATATATTGTGTATATGGAAACTTAATATAAAATAAAGGTAGTTTCATAAACCATTCAGGAAATAAAAGTTTACATTTGACATTAACGAAACTGGCTTACTATAAGGAGAAAAATAAAACTGATTTCCTACCCATGCCACATGCAAAGTCTATCTTTGGGAGGACTGAAACATAAATGTGTAATATAAATACATGCAGTTAATGAATATACAAAGGGTGGGTAATAACTTCTTTAAACCTGTAAGCACAAACCATAACACAAAAAAGAAAGGAAATAATTAAATAAAAATGAAGGCTGGGCATGGTGGCTCAAACCTGTAATCCCAGCACTTTGGGAGGCTGAGGTGGGTGGATCACAAGGTCAAGAGACGGAGACCATCCTGGCCAACGTGGTGAAACCCCATCTCTACTAAAAATACAAAAATTAGGTGGGTATGGTGGTGCGTGCCTGTAATCCCCGCTACTCAAGAGGCTGAGGCAGGAGAATCGATTGAACCTGGGAGACAGAAGTTGCAGTGAGCCGAGATTGCATCACTGCACTCCAGCCTAGTGACAGAGTGAGATCTGCCTCAAAAAAATAAATAAAGTTTAAAAAATAAAGTTCAATGTTCAATGAAGACATTGATAGATAAAATTAACAACTGACAGACTGGGAAAAGATGTTTGCAGTGCCTAAAACCAACGAGGGATTATTAATACCTAGACATACTATTTACTATTGCAAATCAATAAGAAAGAGAAAGGTACCTTAATAGAGACTTGGGCAAAGGATACCAAAAGGCAATTTTAGAATAAAGAATGGCCAGGTGCTGTGGCTCACACCTGTAATCCCAGCACTTTGGGAGGCTGAGGCGGGCAGGTCACTTGATGTCAGGAGTTCGAGACCAGTCTGGCAAATATGCTGAAACCCCGTCTCTACTAAAAAATACAAAAATTAGCTGGGCGTGGTTGGTGGGTGCCTGTAATCTCAGCTACTTGGGAGGCTGAGGCAGCAGAATCACTTGAACCTCGGAGGCAGAGGTTGCAGTGAGCTGAGATTGTGCCATTGCACTCTAGCCTGGATGAAAGAGCAAGACTCCATCTCCAAAAAAAAATAAATAAATAAAATAAAGAAGCCCAAATGCCTATGAGGAGGTAAGCCAGCATATTAGTAATCAGACACATGATAAATAAAATGAGTTATCATTGTATACCTATCAGACTGACAAAGTTCAGAAAGTAAAATAACATCCATTGTTGGTGGTTAGATGTGGCTACAGAGATCCTTATGCACTGCTGATATGAGTGTAAATGGGTACACTATTTTGGAGAGCCATTTAGTCACATTACATATTGTGTATGCATGGATTGAACAGCTAGAAATTCTGTTACTGCATGTGTATGCAAAAGAAATTCTCAGCAGGGCGTGGTGGCTCACATCTGAAATTCAAGCACTTTGGGAGGCCGAGATGGGCAGATTACCTGAGGTCAGGAGTTCGACAACAGCCTGACTAACGTGGCGAAACCCCATCTCTACTAAAAATACAAAATTAGCTGGGTGTGGTGGCACACGTCTGCAATCCCAGCTACTCAGGAGGCTGAGAGGCAGGAGAATCACTTGAATCCGGAAGGCAGAGGTTGCAGTGAGCCAAGATGGTGCCATTGCACTCCAGCCTGGGCAACAAGACCAAAACTCCATCTCAAAAAAAAGAAAAAGAAAAGAAAAATTCTTACATAGGTCCTTAAAGGGACAGGTATAATGATGTCCATTACTGTAGGCATAGACAAATAAAATGTGGTTGGGACATACCTGGAAACTGAGCAGAAGTTACAAGCAATGGACTAGAAGCACACTGGTACAATGGATGGATCTTAGAGCTAAAGAATGTGCTCAGTATGTGTCTATTGTATCTTTATTTTTATTTTATTTTACTTTTTTGAGAAAGAGTCTTGCTCTGTCCCCCAGGCTGGAGTGCAGTGGCACAATCTCCACTCACTGCAACCTCTGCTTCTCAGGTTCAAGAGATTCTCCTGCCTCAGCCTCCCAAGTAGCTGGGACTACCGGTGCCCGCTACCATGCCCAGCTAATTTTTGTATTTGTAGTAGAGACGGGGTTTCACCATATTGGCCAGGCTGGTCTTGAACTCCTGACCTCGTGATCAACCTGTCTCGGCCTCCCAAAGTGCTGGGATTACAGGTGTGAGCCACCTCACCCGGCCTATTGTATCTTTAAATATATTAATATTAGAGATGGGCTGGAGTGCAGTGGCTATTCACCATCTTCATCATAGGAGCACTGCAGCCTCCACCTCTTAGGTTCACGGGATCCTCCCGGTTCAGCCTCCCCAGTAGCTAGGACTACAGGTGAGCGCTATGCCTGGCTTTTTTTTTTTTTTTCTTTTTTGAAATGGAGTCTCACTCTTGCCCAGGCTGAAGTGCAGTGGAAAGATCTCAGCTCACTGCAATCTCCACTTCCCAGGTTCAACTGATTCTCCTGCCTCTGCCTCCCAAGTAGCTGGGACTACAGATGTCAACCACCACACCTGGCTATTTTTTTTTTTTTTTTTTGTATTTTTAGTAGAGGTGGGGTTTCACCATGTTGACCAGGCTGGTTTTGAACTCCTAAATTCAAATGATCCACCCACCTTGACCTTCCAAAGCACTGGGACTGCAGGTGTAAATCACTGTGCCCAACTGGCTTTTTTTTTTCCTTTGTAAAATATGTGTGGCTTATTTTTATTTTATCTTACTTTTCTGAGACAAGTCCTACTATGTTACCAGGCTGGTCTCGATCTCCCGTGCTCAGGTGATCCTCCTGCCTCAGCCTCCCAAGTAGCTGAGACTTACAGGTGCTGCCATGGCACCTGGCTGTGTCTGTCTTAAAACAAAACTTGTATGGATGTCTGTATATGTTCTTAAAGAATGAATGAGGAAGGGGAATAAATTAAGTCTAATGGGTGGGTGAGGATGGCAAGAGAGGAAGACATGAACAGACAATACACAAAAGTATACAATTACTTCTGAATGATGGCATTATGAGTGATTGTAATGTGATTGTACAGTTTCCTCAATTAACTTAATATTATGTTACATTAATTAGAAAGAAAAGTAAACTCACATAAAGTAATCAGACTCAGAACCTTTCTGAAGGGGATCAGTGACTACCTTTATTTTCCCGATTATTGTTTATTTGGTTTTCTACTCCTAGACCCAATCTTGGTCATGTTTTTCCTAGAAAAATAATTTATCTCATATAGATTTCCAAGTGGGTAAAGTTGTGTGTAATAGCTGTGTGGGTACCACCCTCTATGGGCACCGAAGAAGGAGAGCTGTCCAAATCCCAGGCACAATTAGTGCCTGAAGAATATCTTAGTTTATAGTGTTATTACTTAGCTATTTCCTTTATATAATCCTTTAATATAATCATATATTAGTTTATAGAATTAATTCCTGAAGTATAACTTACTGCTTACATACATCTAGCTTATATAATCATACTTAGTGCTTATATCTAGCATACTTAGTTCTATATAATCTCTCTATATAATCATATAGGTATTGTAGTCGGAGCTGTACTGCCACATTTAGTGCTGATTTATAGAATCCTTCTATATAACCATATAGTAGTTTGTAGTAGGAGGAATGCCTAGAGTAGTCACAGAATAGAAGCAGTACATGGGAAAACAGCCAGACCAGGACAAGAACCAAAGACCCAAGCAGTGTCATCTCTGCCTGAAAGGGCATATGCTGTATGGCAGGCTTGGAGTAAGAGCCTCTCCTCCTGATAAAGGAGTTGTAGTACCTTGCATCCAGTTCCTGTGGAAAGTAGGCCTCAGGCCTCAGATCCTAGAAATAACCCAGGGAGAAGAACCCCTCTGGTGTGACTAGTCACGGAGGCTGTAAGCCTGTCAGTCTTTTCTTGCTTCTGTGCCAGCTCAAATCATCCTCCCATAAATATCTTAAGAGAATAGCACAAGTCTGTCAGCTCCCACTGCACTGGCTTATAGTATCCTTCTGTTAGAAATCCTTTGAAGTCTCCAGCCCCCAGATAAGAAGGGTTGCCCACGACACCTGTTGCACACAGCCTACCTCCTTGCCAGTGGCCTAATGGGGGTGGACCCCTTTTCTGTACATGACCTGCTACTACTGCACACAGCACGGTCCCCTACTGTGCATGGCCCACCTCTCTGCCCAAGTAACATAATGGGGTGGCCCCCTCACTTGTCACTCACATGATTATGTATGCCCTATTACTAAACCTATAGATGATGACCTCACTCACGACCCTGCCCCCTGCTTGTACATAATAAATACAGATGCTTCTGGGCATTGGGGGCTCTCCCTGATCACTCACAGGTGGCGTGGCCCCCTGAGTCCAGATGCTCTTCACCAGTTCTTAGTGTCCTATCTCTTTACTTCTCAGATCCTGCACCTCAGCACAGCATAAGGGACACCCTGTGGGGCCCAACAGCCCTACAAGCTGAATAATCATCATAATAACTCTTCTATAGTCAATTCTTTCTTTAATGTGTCTGCTCTTCTTAACTGAAGTCATTTCCTCAGCTATTTTGGACAATTTAATAACAATCAAGGAATACACTGTTCACCAGTCTATAGCGTCTCCAGAAATCATTCAAAAATAAGCTTCATATAAAAAGGTTTTGACTTGGGCGGGCAAAATGGCTCACCCCTGTAATTCCAGCACTTTGGGAGGCCGAAGTGGACAGATCATGAGTCAAGAGATGGAGACCATCCTGGCCAACATGGTGAAACCCCATCTCTACTAAAAATACAAAAATTAGATGGGCATAGTGGTGTGTGCCTGTAGTCCCACTTAGTCAAGGGGCTGAGGCAGGAGAATTGATTGAACACAGGAGGTGGAGGTTGCAGTGAGTCAAGATCACACCACTGCATTCCAGCCTGGTGACAGAGTGAGACTCCGTCTCAAAACAAAAAAGTTTTTGACTTTCTACCATAATAAGATTTATATATTTTACCACTCTGTCGGAAAATGCTGGCTGGATTATTTAGGGGGCTGATGTGAGAACTGAATAAGTTAATACATGCTAAGGTGTTATATATGGTGCCTGACACATAATGTTCAACTTACTGCTATAGTGAATAAAAACGGCTAATAATGATGACATTAGCTACAGACTCCTTTTCTATCAGCCATGCCACCCAGCACAGGCCTAGGCACAAAATAGAATATTTAGATTGATGCTCAGCAACTGATGGATATCAACATTTGGGATTTCCCTTTGAAATATCATAGCTCGCTTTATGTGTTTTCCAAAATGTTCTAGGTATCAATTGATTTTTAATTTTATTCTCTAGAGACTGTGTTGCCCAGGTGGGAGTACAGTGTGGTGGTCTCAGCTCCACCCCCTGGGTTCAAGAGATCCTCCCACCTCAGCCTTCTGAGTAGCTGGGACTATAGGCACACACTACCATGCCCGCTAATTTTTGTGTTTTCTTTTCTTTTCTTTTTTTTTTTGTGTGTGTGTGTGTACAGAGAGGATTTCACCAAGTTGCCCTGGCTGGTCTTGAGGTCCTGAGCTCAAGCAATCCGTCTGCCTCGGCCTCCCAAAGTGCTGGAATTACAGGCATGAGCCACTACGCCTGTAACTCAAAAAAAAAAAAATCAACTATTGGCCAGTCAAGGCACTTTGGGAGGCCAGGGCGGGAGGATTGCTTCAGCCCAGGAGTTTGAGACTAGCCTGGGCAACATAGTCCAATCCTGTCTCTACGAAAACAAAAAATTAACCAGGTATAGTGGCCCACACTGTAGTCAGCTACTCTGGAGGCTGGGATGGGAAAATCAGCTGAGCGGGGGAGGACTAGGCTGAAGTGAGCCATGATCGCGCCACTGCACTCGAGCCAAGGTGACAGAGGGAGATCATGTCTCAAAAATAAATTTAAAATAAAATAAAAATAAGCTGTTGGTTCAACTCAACTCTCTTAATTTTGTTTATGAATTTCTGCCTTTATCATAATGCTCGGGATTTATTTATTTATTTGAGACCGGGTCTTCCTCTGTCACCCATGCTGGAGTGCAGTGGCGCGATCTCAGCTTACTCCAGCCTCCGCCTCCCGGGCTCAAGGGATCCTTCCACCTCAGCCCCTCAAGTAGTTGGGATTACAGGCGCGCGCCACCCACGCTCGGCTAGTTTTTGTATTTTCTTTTTAGAGGGAGGGTCTCACTTTGTTGCCCAGGCTGGTCCTGAACTCCTGGATTCAAGCTATCCGCCTGCCCCAAAGTGCCGGGATTTCGGGCGTGAGCCACCGCGCCGGACCTAATGTTCGGGCTTTCTTATTTTCTAATCAATGTGTTCCAGGCGATACATTTTCCTCAGAGTGTTGCTTTGACTGCATGCCACAATGTGAATAATTACAGGCAGGGATGTATATTAGGCGCTCACCACAGTTAGCTCCCTTTAACCGTATCCCGCACTAGGCCGACAAGCGTTTGCTAGGCGTCCGCGGAACTCCAAAAAGCTCTTCCTCAAAGTCACTTTACCTGCTGAGTCCCTTTTCTCCCGCGCTGGCAACTCCTCCCGGCCTGGCCGTCACGCCCCCTCACGTCACTCACCGCCCCGCCACGTTCCCATGATACTACGCAGGCGCCAACAACGAGGCCGAAACCTCCGTGCCCTTCCGCTTTTTCAAAGGCATCTCTGCAACGATGGCAAGAAAAATAGTTCCTTGACAACTGAGATCTTTTCAGAAGGAGGCGGGACCAGGCGGGGCTTACGAGCGGAACGAAAAGGAAGTCCGCAGTTCTTGCAACAGGATTGGGCTCCGCCCTCCTGGGGGGGGCGGGCTCAGAAGGGCGGAGGGATTCACTTTAAGCCGCGGGCGGCCCTCCGCCTCCATTGAAGGCGGGGAGATCGGCGCGGCAGGTAGTTGCCGTGGTTTCAGTTCTGACCTCGCAGCGTTGGAGCTGAAGATCGTGGACCTAGCGTTCCCGCGTCCGAGTCCGGCCATCAGTGGCTGCAGATCCGGAGGCCAGGAGCTCAACCATCCAGGGCAGGCCCGCTGCTGTGCCTTCGCCTCTCGGTGCCTGTAACTACTCCGGGGCCTAGGTTGGCTCCCGGGCGGCTGAGAAGGCCGCCGCCGAGATGTTCAAAAACACGTTCCAGAGCGGCTTCCTCTCCATCCTCTACAGCATTGGTAGCAAGCCCCTGCAAATCTGGGACAAAAAGGTCAGGCTGGGGGCGGCGGCGTGACGGGGTGCGGGGGCTACGCCCCCTCCTCGTCCAGGGGTTGGGGACGGGGAATGATTGTGTCGAACTGGGTCCTGGAAGAGGCCGAGAAGACGTGCGTTGTGCCTTGTCCCCAGCCTGGCGGGACTGGGGCGCGAGATGGCGTCGTGTAAGCAGCAGAGGAGGTGGGCGTGGCTGGGAGCTAAGTGGCCTGAAGCTGTGGTGTGGTTAGGGCCGTGACCCACGCTCCTGACTTGACTTAGTCCATTCTTTTGAGCCAGTTTCCCCATCAATATAATGGGGTTGATGGTGCCCATCTCCCAGCATGAAACGTACAAACTTATGTGAGGGAGCTCTGGGGACGTACAGACGAAAGGACTTGCTATTCACAAATATGAAAGGACTTGGATTCCACAAATACTTACTGATATCCTGTTTTGTGCCAGGCACGGTGCTGGGCACTGGACACAGAGCCTTTGTTCAGGCACCCTTAAAAAGGAAGGCGCAGCCAGCGAGAAAGGCTCCGGCTAAGCCAGTGATGTTTGGATTTTATTCATTTGCTCCCTTCCTCCCACTGATCCCAAATAAGTCAGAATTCACTGGCCCTTGGCACCTGCTCCACACTCACTGTGACTTGCCTGTTGTACTATGCCCTCGTGCCTGATTTCTCCATCAGGAAAACTTCAGAATGCTGACAGTCAAAGTCCTGTTTGGATTAAGAAACTCAGAGCCAAGTACGAGCCTCATCTTCATTCAGGAATCCATTAGATGATACTTTCTTTGGCCCCAGGAGATGATGACTCTGTCTACTTTTTACAGATGTGAAGATCTAGCTGTCTATGAGTTGATCTGCATTTTATTACTTTGGTATTTCGTTCTAAATGCAAATTCCCAGGCAATCAGCTGTACTATTTCTTGATTATAAGTTACAGGAGGAACGCCAATGAGCAATTTAGGGAATATTCTGGGAGAATTGGTGTGCTGAATGCTGTTTTTTGTAGTGATGCATGTGGAATAATCTCAGCAGGGTGTATTGGTAATGAAGCCAAGAATTTTGGATTTTATCTTGGAACAACTCTCTGTATTCCCTTATCCACAGATGAGAACTTTGGGCCACATAAAGTTGGGAGAGAACACGGGCAGCTTTCTGCCTGTCACACTAGGGGGAACCCTTCGTTCTGAGGGCAGCTTTGAGGATGGTGTGTTCATAGTGTTAGTTTCGTAAGATAGTGAAGGATCTGAATATAATGACATTGGGCCGTTGTGTATGTAAAATCTACCCATCTCCTCTCTTTCAGATGATTCTGTCTACAAGCTAGAGCTAGTACCAGAGTATAGGAAAGCAGTTCCTTAACGTCGCTGCATTACTGAGGTTTTTAGTTTCATGGTTTTTTTTTTCACAATGGAATAAAGCATTGTAAACTGTAAATTGCATCTATACAAAGAGAACCCAGGGTGCCTGGGAACTTTGTAAGGAGATTGGCTTCCCAGCCATCACTGACTCAGTTACAGGCTGTCAGAAGGCATGAAGAGAGCCCCCCCCCCCAGTGAAACTTGGAAACTGAATTGTAACAAAGTGTCAATATAAGGCAATTGAAATAGAGAATGGGACTTGACCTAGGAGGAGAGGTTTTCAGAGCGGATCAGAGAACTTACTAAAGCTGAAAGAAGCCAGGAGCAGTGGCTCATGCCTGTAATCCCAGGTCTTTGGGAGGCCGAGGTGGGCAGATCATGAGGTCAAGAGTATGAGACCAGCCTGAACAACATGGTGAAACCCTGTCTCTACTAAAAATACAAAAATTAGCCTGGTGTGGTGGCGCGTGCCTGTAATCCCAGCTACTCAGGAGGCTGAGGCAGAAGAATCGCTTGAACCTGGGAGGTGGAGGTTGCAGTGAGCCAAGTTCGTGCCACTGCACTCTAGCTTGGGCAACAGAGTGAGACTCTGTCTCAGAATGAATGAATGAATGAATGAATGAATGAATAAATAAATAAAGCTGAAAGAATTCCAGTAGTAGGGAGACCTCAGAATTTCTGTTATGAAACTTGTGTCAGTTTTCCATTTTAACCCTTCTGGGCTTAATCTTGTTTGCTGTTTTATTTTTCAAATGTGGCTTTTTGACTAGTCAACATGTTTACTCGAGAATAGAAAAGCAAAGTAACCATGGTGCACTGTTTCCCTTAACAATGCCACTAGAGGTCAGATGGTACCCTAATGACAAACACGTGGGAAAACATTGTTAAATCGATTGGCAGGGTTACTTGGAGTAAATTAAAGCAAAATCTTCACAATGGTAAAAGTTTATGATGTGTTTCTAACTCTTCTTATTTAGATTCAATTGAAAAATGTTTAGGATTAAAGTTTTTTTCCCTCTTGTGGCAAGGAAAGGAAAGAGAAGAAAAGGGAAAGTTTGGGGCCATATCCCTCAGCTTTGTTGTGTATGCTTTTTCTCAGCTCTAAGTCCTCAGAAAGTGCTGGAAATCCAATTCAGTAGGGGGAATACTGGGAATTGATGTACTTATCAAAGATTTATTGAACAATAGCAGAGTGACAGGCTTTGTGAAGACCTGGAAAGATAGAGAAAACATTTTTCCTGCTCCCAGGATCTAAGGCAAAGTTGTAATAAGAACAGAGTTTGTGGTGGGATGAGGGCTGTCTACATTTATCTAGACATGGCCCTGACTTTTGCCAGTAGGTGTATATTGACTGTGGTGCCTATTTATAGTTTTTATTTCACAAAGCTTTACTGTTACTGTTTTCCTTCCTGAGTAAATATAGAGAGAATTTCTGTTTGGTTTCTACGAAGAATTTTGAGAAATTTGGTTTGACTTCTTTTAGGCTCTGTGTCTGTGTGAATATGAGAAGTGAATACTGTATTCATAGTACCAGTGAATTTGCAAGTTTCCCTTTTGTGAGGATGGCTCACTCATTAGTGTTTATAAAACCGGCAATTTATTTGAGGCTCTGAAGCTCACAGTCCCTCCCCTCCATCTCATCCTTCATATCTCAACTTAAACATTATTTTCATTGGGAACATGAGTTAAGCCTCAATTGAATTGTAACAAAGTGTCAGTATAAGTGTGCGTTGTGGCATGGCAGTTTTCTATTGTAGATTGTCCCCTGCACTGCAGGTTCCTTAAGCAGAAGAACGGTATCTTACCTCAAAACCTCTGTGCTAGGGTGTAGTCAGACACCTTGGATCTGCATCCTGACTGTGCTGTGTTCCAGTTCTGTGACCTTAGCCATGTCCTTAACCACTCCATTTTCTTATCTACTTCTCACGGTTATGAAGATTAAATGCAGCTGTATGTAAATTAAGTCCTTAGCAACAGAGTTATGGCATATGCAGTCATGCACCACATGATGGCATTTCAGTCAACGACAGACCTTATACGTGACAGTGGGTGCCATAAGATTACCATGGAGCTGAAAAATTCCTGTCGCTTAGTGATATAATTGTTGTTCATTAAATCAAATTCTTTATTCGTGTTTGTGAGTAGGTGTAAACCAACCTACTGCACTGGCAGTCATGTAAAAGTATAGCATATACAGTAATGTACGGTGCCTAACACTTGATGATAAATGCCAGTGTTACTGGCTTATGTATTTACCGTGCTCTTTATCATTATTTTATTTATTTATTTTTTGAGACAGAGTCTCTCTGTCGCTCAGGCTGGAGTGCACTGGCACTATCTCAGCTCACTGGAGCCTCCGCCTCCCAAGTTCAAGTGATTCTTCTGCCTCAGCCTCCCGAGTGGCTGGGACTACAGGCACGTGCCACCACACCCAGCTAAATTTTTGTATTTTTAATAGAGATGGGATTTTACTGTGTTAGCCAAGATGATCTCAATCTCCTGATCTCGTGGTCTGCCGGCCTCTGCCTCCCAAAGTGTTGGGATTATAGGTGTGAGCCACTGCACCTGGCCTGTATTTTATTTTTTATTTTTTTAGACAGGGTCTTGCTGTTGCCCAGACTGGAATGCAATAGTGTGATCATGGCTCACTGCAGTCTTAATCTCCTGGGCTCAAGTGATCCTCCCACCTCAGCCTCCCAAGTGGCTGGGACTCCAGGCTCTCAGCACTACACCTGGCTAATTTTTATATTTTTGTAGAGACAGGGTTTCTCCATGTTGTCCAGGCTGGTCTTGAATTCCTAGGCTTAAGCAGTCCTCCCACCTCGGTCTCCCAAAGTGCTGGAATTACAGGCATGAGCTCCCGTCCCTGGCCTTATCATAATTTTACAATGTACTCCTACTTACAACAACAAAAGTTAACTGTAAAATAGCCTCAGGCAGGTCCTTTAGGAGATATTTCAGAAGAATGCGGTGTTGTCATAGGAGATGACAGCACCATGTGCATTATTTCTCCTGCAGACCTTCCAGTGGGACAGTGTGTGGAGGTGGAGACTGTGATTGATGTTAATGATACTGACCTTGTGTGGGACTAGGTTCATGTGTGTGTTTGTGTCTTAGTTTTTAACA